TCTTCCAAGTCACTGTTAAGCATCTGACTTTAGCTCAGGCCATGATCTTGAGGTTTGTGGGTTCGAGTCCCCGCATCGGGCTCTGCGCTGACAGTGCAGAGCCTGCTTGGGATTCTCTGTCTCCCTCTCTCTTTGCTCCTCCCCCACTCACGCTTTCTCTCTCTCTCTCAAAATAAATAAATAAACTTAAAAAAATGATCTACCCTGCTCTGCTACATCACCAGTCTAGACAAGAGGGGACAGCCCTCATTAAATAAAACCTCCCTGTGAAGAATGAAAACCATTTGTCAAGTATACACATTTTCACATAGGATTTAGGCCAAAACACGTCCCAGGAATGCAAATCGCATCTAGACTACCTGCGACCAGATTACCCACCATGGAAAATTACCCACAATAAAACCAGACTGTCTATAAACCCCCACAGACTTCTGGAAGCAGATGCCAAGGTAGATCGGACTTTCTAAACGTTTCCTATCTCACACTTTCATCTTTTTTCATTTTTTTCCGTGTTATCGGAGTGTCTACACAGAGCGGAGAAAGGCGAAAGATAAGAGAGGCTGTAAATGTCAGAGGCCACCTAGGAATCACGGATCTGGAAAACTCTTGTCAGAAGAGAGGAAATTAAGCACTGGAAACGAAAGGGCACAGGGGGAAGGTTTGGCTGCAGTGTAGATTTGTCCCCAAGGTGGAGTCTTCAGGAAAGCCTAGAATGACTCACTTCATTATGCTCCAGGCAGTAGATCATCAGCTCCGAAAGAATGACCACACCGGTCCGCCCCACCCCGGCACTGCAGTGGACGATGATCGGAGGGTGCCGATTCTTGGCGCCTTCCAGCATGCTGTTGGTATGGCGTCGGACAGACTGGATCTCCTCCAAGTAGGCTGCAAGACAAAATGCAAATCCTGTCACTGAAGTCCTACATGGCTTTGCATACAAGGGGGTGGGGGGAACTGATGGTGAATCTTTTTTTTTTTAGGTGACAATAATTTTCGGTTCTTACAAGACACTAATTATTTGGCTGGTACTCACTGTACAGTCCTGGATCCAGAAAGGACCAGCTGGGAGTCAATTAGTCCATGGGAGAATTTGTTCTTTAAATTAAATAGTTCTTTTTTAAAAATTAAATTCTGTTTTCCCCTCTGCAAATCCCAAAGTCCCCCAAGCAGATGATTCTCGACATTACTTACAGCAATTCCTACTATTAACAGACTGGGATCAGAACACCAGCTAGGTCCCCTTGAAACGCCCGCCTGTCAGAGCCAATTTCTGGTGGGAAGAACATCCATCTGCCCCTTCCTCCTTCCCCTCACTGGATGAGTGAATGTCAACCGAGGCCTGACTTTCATTTTTAGATTTAAAAATAGACTTTGGGGGTCCTGCTTTTCAGCTTGGATTCCATGTGGTTCTGGAAGTAGCTCAAGACGAACACTTCCCTTTCTGGAGGGAACATGTGTGTGGGGTAGAGGGGCTGTGCCTCCTCCCTCACCCCTTCTGACAGCTGCCTAGCTCAGCAGGGCTGCACGGGGGTCTGTTCGCTACTCCAATCGGGCACAAATGAAAAATTACAGTAATGCAAGCCTTAATGACTTTTTTTTTTCCCCATGGTGATGGAAAAAAAAAAAAAAAAAGAGGAGAAGTATATAAATGTCATCCTCAAAGAGTCCAAGAACCAGAAGAAGTCAATTAGTCATACAGACTTCATAGGCGCTAGCTCAGGGGAGATACCATTGAAAGGTTCTTGATACTCAGAAAAATCTCCTCCCGATTCGGCATTCTGAAACAGGACCGGAAGAAGCACTCAAAGAGAAGTGAGTTCGAGCCATTCTGGTAATTTAAAAGCAACTGTTTACGTGCAATTGATATGCACTCCTATTTGCCTTTCTAACCTTATCCTATCGCAAAGTCATCCGAAGTCGTTTATCAAGACAAACTATGACCACCAGCAGCAGCAGCGGTGGTGGCAGCACCCAAAAAGCAGGAAGGCAATCTGAGATGACTAGACAGAGGTACTAACGTGAGCCAAATACCGTGCATGGAATTGTCACAAGTTTTCTGTAAGAGGGGAAAGGAATTAGGGGACTGTGCATTCTCTGACAAAAAAGGTAATGTTCATGCTCAACGGAGAGGTTTTTCTTGTGCTAAATTTAAGAAGAGACGTAAAAGGAATATTGACCCGTGAGGCAGATGGAATTCCATAAAACACAGAGAGACTGGATTTAAATGGATGCTCTCTCTAGCGATCACGTTAATTGAGTTCCTTAAGCCGTAACTCAGTGAGGACTTCTGCAGGCTGGAAGATAATTTGCCCAAAGTCCCCTGCATCCAGGGAATCGAATTTAAACACAGGCAAAATATCTTTTGAAATTCCTAAAAACCTGGAAAGCCAACATTTCCAAGACCCTCCTCAGCACACCGAGTTTCTTAGAAACGTAAATAAACTTACACAGTGTAAAAATGTTCTCTACGTTTTTCAGTAATTTAGATGGGCATTCCTTAAATTGGTTCTGATGGAAAAGATCGGACTATAATTTTAACCACCTTATAAACTCAATCTTCTGTCAGAGCTGTTGGCCAATCGTCAAACTGATCTACTCTGTTTCCATCTTCTTTTTATTTTCTTAAAGTTTATTTATTGATTCTGAGAGAGAGGGGGTGGGGCAGGGGCACAGCGAGAAAGAGAAAGAGAGAATTCCAGGCAGGCTCCACACCGACTGAATGGAGCTTGATGTGGGGCTCGAACTCATGAACCGTGAGATCATGACCTGTGCCCAAGCCAGATGCTTAACCGACTAAGTCACCCAGGCGGCCACCCCCCTCCATTGTTTCTATTTTCTGCATTTTGGAGATAATTCTGGTAAATCAATTAGCAAAAGATTATCATGGGAAAAAAAAGAAAAAGAGCACTGTTATGAGGAAAGAAAGTTCTACAAAGGTCCCTGCCCACCTTATTAGTATTTTAAGCTAGAGTATAACCGTCTGACCTCAGGCCAAGCACGAACCCTCTCTAGATCTTTCTTGCTCCAGATCCTGTGATTCCCATCACCCTTCTGCTCTCTGTCAGTGACCACCTTCTCAAGGACCACTGTCACTTCCCTGATGGGAAATTAAACACTTTCATCAGCGAACAAGTCTGCATCAGAAACTTCCCATTGGAACTTGTGAAATGGTACTTTTAGGTTCTTGAAAACCCGATTCTCTCTCTTCTCCTCTCCCCATGCCTCAATTCTAAATGAAAATCAAAATAAAATCAAGGGTTTGACCTTATCGAACATCCAGATGATGGTCCTATTGTCTTCCGCCAGCTGGAGAGTCAACAACATAACAGGTAATAAATCTGCTGAGAACCCTAGGCCTAGCTGCGTGAGGAAGGAATGGGGTGTCTCCACAAGTGCAGGACAATTACACGAGACTGTGGAAAAGGAAGGGGGAGCATTATAACCATCACCAAAAAGCAGATGACAGTGTCAGATCTCACCCCTGGACTGCCATCACTGGCTTGCCTTTCTCACGAGCGCCTTCAAAACAGAGACCCTCTCTTTTCTATGTTCTGAGAGCCTGATCCAGAGCCTAGAATGCAGTGGGCACACACCCAGTTTTTGGCTTTTCAAATAAAGTACTGCATATATTCTAGATCAGTCGGCTTCTAAGAAAATCATACTCTGAAAAATATATGTGAACTGATGAGTTCAAAACTGATTCTTTCAAAAACAACAAGTTGATTTCTTTCTTTTTTTTTTTAAGTTTACTTATTTTGAGAGAGAGAGAGAGAGAGAGAGAATACACTGGGGAGGGGCAGAGAGAAAGGGAGAGAGAATCCCAAGCAGGCTCCTTGCTGTCAACACAGAGCCCAACATAGGGCTCGATCCCATGAACCATGAGATCATGACCTGAGCAGAGATCAAGAGTGGGGGGCTTAGCCGACTGAGCAACCCAGGCATCCCAAAAGTTGATTTCAATAACTCTTAGTATCTTCATCAGAGGTACAAGAAAGTACTCACTGAGATTCCAGCTATAGGGAAAAGTGGGGTTTATGAAAAGCAAGCCTCCATGAAAAATAAAAAAATAAGTGTGTTTTACAGTGTTACGTAACCATTGCCACTATCCGTTTCTAGAATTTTCTCATTGCCCCAAATAGAAACTTTGTACCCATCAAACAATAACTTCCTATTCCCTATTCCCCCTTCCCCTGGCCCCTGGTAACCTCTACCACACTTTCTACCTGTGTGAAGTTTTCTATTCTGGGCACCTCTCTAAAATGGAATCCTACAACATGTGTCCCCTTGTGTCCAGTTTATTCTACTTAGCATAATGGTTTCAAGGTTCCGACACGTGACATATATCAGAGTAGTTACTTACTGGTGAGTACTCAGAGGTCTACATCAAGATAGAATGAATCAGTTTGCCACAGTTTCAGCTTATTTGCATAAAAGGTAAGGAGAATATGATAAATGACATGTATTATTCTTCTCTGTTCTACATACACCATATGAAGAAACATAAATTTCAATGATGTAATTAATACTTTTGCCACTTATGAGAAAGCATCCTCGCTTTCCCTTTCCCTTCCAACTGATCAGACCACTGAGGCAGTTGCTAAAGTTCTGACTGGGAAGAAAAAACTTACATAAAAATCCTTGGACATCCTCTGGGCAGCCATGGTCCGGCCAGTCAGTGTACTGCAAATGCCACACCGTCCTTTCCTGCCCCGACAAAAGGTGCTTGACCTTCAAGCCTGTGGTTGCATAGCAACCAGAATCCGTTCGGAACTTTGTGGTGACCTTGAACTTGCCGTAGGTGGCTGAGCTGTGCTTGGAACCCAGTTTGGGCCAGTATCGGTGGCTCTTGGTTCGTCCGCCTTCCTGAATCACCCACAAAAGCAAAATCTGAAGTAAGTCAGGGGAAGCTCTTATCCTCTCAATCTTAAATCTGAGGACAGAGGAAATGTGAATAGCTCCTAGGTCAGTAACTCAGTGCACTGGGCAGTCTCTATCACAGATTAGATCGTGCACCCTAAGACCTAGTAGGATTCACAGTGGTACTTACGGCAAGGAAGTATTTAAAAGATGCACAACTGAGCTGTGGCCGAATGTGAGCGAGAGGAGCCGGTGCAGAGAGGGCAGAGGCAGGAATAAAAAGGGGTCTGTTTTTTAAGGGTTGCACAGTTAAATCACTGGATTGGAGCGTGGATCAGATGGTGGCTCTGAAGGAAACCGGGGCAGGAAGTGGGTGGGGACGGAACAGTGCTGGGCGCAGAGCTATGGAGGTCGAGGGCGAGCTGGGGTCCTGTTCTCTCGGGGAGCCCTGCAGGCTGGCCCGCTTACAAAGCAACACATTTGTCGGGATGAGCACTGGCTGTCGTATGCAAGTGTTGAACCCCTGGCTTCTGCTCCTGAAACCAATACTACGCTACTACAAATTAAAAACAAACAAACAAAAAGCAACACATCCTCAGAGGCTACAAACACTCCCACCCTGATTCATCTGGTTGAACTGAGTCTTAGATTTGAAGCACACATGCCTCTTCACCTACCAATCCTGTGCATGTACTTTTTACCTGAGGCTTTAATTGCTATTACTCCTGAGGGACTACACCGATTACAGATTCCAAGAGACTTTAAGCCTCTGGCTGCCACATAGATCACCAGACATCGTGTCTGTAAGGCTGGCCCCTTCCGGTCACTCAGGTTTCAGCTCAGATGCAACCTCCTTAGAGGGGCCCTTGGTGGCCCCCCCGCCCCCACTCCCACCCCTCTGTCCCATCACCTGTTCTATTTCCTTCATGGCAGTTACCCCTACTGAGCTTACTTTATTTGTTCATTTTTTATTGTCCCTCCCACTAGAAAGGAAGCTCTCTGGGGACAGGGATCACACCTGTCTTGTTTGCCACCACACCCCTGAGTTCAGCACAGATGACACATTGCATTGAGTTGGATGAACCCCTTACAGTAATGCAATTCCAAAGGGGATAATACCATTCTAGAAATGTTTTTAAAGACTTTTTTTTAAAGTTTATTTATTTTTTGAAAGAGACAGAGACAGCATAAGTGGGGGAGAGGCAGAGAGAGAGGGAGACAGAGAATCCTAAGCAGGCTCCACACTGTCAACATAGAGCCCGTGAGATTATGACCAAAGTCAAGAGTCAGACGCTCATCCTTCTGAGTCACCCAGGCACCCTTCTTAGGGGCTGTTCTGGAAAGCAACTGCTCAGAATAGTCATTGGAGGAAACATGACTTTTTTTTTTTTTTTTTTCCAGTTCGCTGTCTGCTCCCCACCCTTTAAAAATGTGTAGGAAAGTATATGCCCTACCACAGATACTGGTGAAAGCCAGATGAAGCTAGTCCCTTAAATGACTTGAAAACAAAAACTCAAAAATGTGACAAGAGAAGAAACACAAAACATCTTCCCCTAAAGACAGCAAGCCCCAAGCAAACTGCTAGATCGGCCGGTAGCATGAGCCAGTTTTTACAACACCACGTAGAGTGTTCTGGTTATAACAGAAAAACTATGTTTGACTTGGCAAAAGAAGAAAGATTCCCGCCCCCCCTCCCCAAAGAATAGAGACCTCTACAGGATCAACAGCTTCTGGTCTCTTTGCAGCTGATAAGCACGAAGGGGTGTGGAGCTGGCCCCAGCCGAGGCTGGGAATATGTGCCCGTCTGCCCAGAGCAGCCCAAAGTTCTCACTCAGATTCCAGGGGAAAGATGACTGCTTTGTCTGGCACATAAAAGTGAGCTGAACTGAAGTTTGGTTCTTGTTTGTCTGTTTGTTTGTTTGACTGATTTTAGTTGATGGCAATTTGAGGAAAAGAGCTGAGAAGCTGGATGAAGACAGGACACAATGATAAATTATCTTTGGAAAATAAAACAAATCTAGAATGCCAGAAAGAAAAGGATTTGCAGAGAAATGGTGCTGTAGGAAGCAGGATGAGGCAGCAAGGTCACCAGATATGGAGCCTCTCTTCTGGCCACCCCTCCCCCGGGAACAGATGGCTGGGTAGCCAGTCCCCTTACCTCTTCCGCGGTGACCATGGCAATCACGTTCGCTCCCTGCTCCCACACCATCTGCCAGAAGTCGTGACATGTGTGTGGCAGGGGCCCCTGAGTGGCTATGTAGTGCCATTCTGCCCCACCAACCACCACCTGGAAACCAAGGAAAACATCGGTAAACGAACCCCAGATCGAGGAAAGCATTACCTGCTGGCCATGGGTCCATTTGTACCTACCTGAGAACCTTGGATAACACCTTTTAGGCCAAATGGGTTAGTGCCATTATCAGAAACCTCGGTGACACATTCTCACATGAAAACACTTTTTGCCACTCAAGCCTATTAAAATGCACCTGATCTTTTTTTTTTTTTTTTTTTTTTTTTTTTTTGCCTGCAAGTTACAGTAATTATATATAAACCAGCGCATGTTAAAAATATACACCCCCACACCCACCCATACACACATTACATGGCAGTGTGGGTGTGTGTAACCTAACAGAACTTACTTGTTGCAGAAACAATACTTATGCTCACTATGTGCAATGTACTCTGGTAATTTCTATTCTTTTCTCCTCTCCGTTCTAGTCCTTTTAGACACACACTCACACACTCACAAACCCAAACTGGTCCTGATTACTAGGTTGCTTTCACACCCCGCTATTATACTGTGATCCAGAGTTGGAGAGACAGTACGCTCTGGCGTCCTTTTAATATTTTTTTTATAGTTTTTTAAACTTTTATTTTTTTGAGAGAGAAAGGGAGAGAGAGAATCCCAAGCAGGCTCCACACCGTCAGCACAGAGCCCGACGCGGGGCTCGAACTCACAGACTGTGAGATCGTGACCTGAGTCAAGACCATGAGTCCGATGACGCTTAACCGACTGAGCCACCCAGGCATGCCTCTCTGACATCCTTCTAAACAGCAACAACAACAAAAGTGTGCCACGGAATAACATCCCTTTAGAAGCAACGTCTATGTACCAATGACCTGCTGGGAACTGTGTCAATTACTTCTGTTGTCCCTCTTACTCTGTGGTGCCATATATAGTAGAGGTGTTGTGAATGCATTTAAATGAACAATACGTGATATTTGATCATTAACTTCCCCTTGTGCAGGACCAGAGTATCCAACCAAACTTTGGAATCATGAGATGATTTCGGATAACAACAATATTATCCCATGCAGCTCAGGGCGATCTTGGGAGGATAGTTCCGCAGCTATAAATATCAGTGGCAGAGAATCATGAATAAGAAGTTGTGCCCAAAGTGCTGAAGGGCATGCCATGAGGGCAAAATCGTGTCCTTTGGAGGCATTCTTTCTGTGTGCCTTCCCATTCCCGTGCCTTGACATTTTTTCAAAGTCAGGCCTCCTTATCCAGTGCAAGTCTCTGGAGAGTTCCTGGAGCATGAAGCGATCATTGTTTGAAACTTTTTCCCTTCGTTTATTTTTTGAAACTATATACTAACTTGAGTCAAACAAAAACAATGTCAGTTATTGTCTCATTACACAAGACATGTTTATGTTTAGGTCAAAGCTGGCAAGCAAAATCCATTTTCCAAGTACTGGGGGAGATAACATTCATACACTGGCTGGCTGGCTAGGAGTTTCGTTTATCTGTGGAATTGTGATTTTAAACATTAGCCTCCCTGGCACCCAACATATAGGAACCATAAATACTTCCAGAGTGTGCTGCTGCCTGGGGCCTTTCAGCATATTCCAAGTATTGACAGGAGGGTATTAAAAACTGCATTAAAAACACAACAACCAATGCTATGGAGGTAGATTTCACAGATGTGATGATTCTACCTCTGGAGCAAATAAATCTCTGTTCTGTGTTAATAGCTGCTTGGAACCCAGGGAGAAAACATTGGCAAGATATACAACTCAATTCCAAAAACATAAGGACAAGTTCTTACAAGCTCTATGGGTCTATTAAATGCACCCATGTCTAACCCGGATCCACAAGACGAAACGTAGGCCTCGGAGAATACTGAGGAGGGGAATGTTTCTGTTAACAATACCCAATGGGCACATCCGACGCACAGTGACAGCTTTTCCAGAGAGCAGATGGAAAATGGCGGAGGGTATTTGGCCAAAAGGAGAAGATAGCATGATATAGCCGTGTAAGATTCCATAGACACTCTATCAAGGAGCAGCCGTGTGAGTTGCGTCTTTGAGTACATTCTTTTGGTTATCATTTCATAATCTCAATTAAGCTCATGAAACTGACCATCATCAGTTTACTTGAGAGTTTCCTGAGGTTCAGTTTTATAGTTTTGGTTCTCTCAAAAATTAAAATAAGATACCCAATATGATCTGTGACAGTTACTCTTTCATATTTTTTGACGGTACTTTCCAGCACTTAAAAAAAATACACGTATATATGTGTAGTTATCTATGCTCTGTGTACAAAACCCATACATCCAAGCACAGTCTACTTTTCAGATTCTGTACTGGAACCGTTATAACTGATACATGCACCAGACATCTGGCTGTATTTCAGAGGCTCAAAGGAATCTACCAAAAATTCAGCTACAGTTGGAAAGTCCAATGAAGAAAGGAAATGACTCGGAACAAGGCCCAAACCAAATTTCTAAGGTTACGATCATAAAAGACTGTTAATGTGAACCGTGGATGATTTAAAAAACATCCTGTAACAATTGTTTTACTATCAGTATATGAATAAATTCTCCTATTTTGGAGGTCAGGGCAAACAGTGACGTTCTAAACGAGTATGTTCTGTTGTTAGGAAGATTGAGGAAGGTAAGCCATTTAGAAAACGTTTAACCATGTACACACATGTATCTGTAACTCGAAATTCTAGCTGGGGCTGAGCGAAGCCAATTCTAAAGTCAATGAAATACTGAGATATGAAGATGTGAAATGCTAACAAAAATTTAATGGTATTCATGCACCGAATGATGTGGCAAATCTTACAAGCTTCAATACCAACCACGCCTTTATGGCCACATTCAAATCAGTCCACTCTTCTAAAGAACATGCAGATTTGGGACTTCGGCTGGATGATACATAACCTGTAGTGTCACAAGGGAGAACTGCGAAGTTCCCACTGCTCTTGAATATCATAGAAACTTCACTGACAGTGACTTCCAGAGTCTCCATCACGGGCTAACTACAAACCGAAAAGGACAGTCCTCAGCTCCTCCTGTGAGCGTTGGGGACAGTGATGACTCGCAGAGAGAAGAAAAAGTTAAATCCTTGGTGGTGAGCAGGCTTCAGAAATAGCTGACCTGAGGTTTTCCCCAAGGCTGCTGGGCTTCCTTGTCTCTGCAGTGACAGGCACGAGAAGTTGCCTAAGAAGCACAGGAGTTCAAAAACACTCCCTCGGGGGCCGGGGATAAGCCAAGATGCTCAGTGGGAGAGCACAATTTTTTTCTCCCTGCATTTTGACCTTGAAGCCAGCAATCTGCAACAAACCTTCCCAGCACGCTCCCCTTCTTACCTTGATGTGGGAGGCATTAATGTAACCTGTGTTGTTTTCTTTGGTCGGTACCAGCTCCACTCTGTTCTCCTCATAGGGCACGACTTCGCGGATGCGGCTTCGCTCGGCATTTTCTGGTAGGGCCGCGGTGCTGAAAATGCCATTGGCCTTCTTCTTTGGAATTTGCTCATATTCTGTGAACACCATTCCCTCTTCTAGCTTTTTCTTCAGGGTTCTGAACTGCAACAGAAATTAATCTTCAGCTTTCCGGATTATCCTATCCCCAAACCCCAACAAATCAGATTTCTTTCAAGATTTACAGTGATCATGTTAATAAGCAGTTTCAAGAGGTGCAACGAATGCTTGATTATTTGGTCTCATTATTAACCATTTTGCTAGTTTCTCTGGCCCAATAACCAATTTCCTTCTCATTCATACCTTAAATAGAACCAGTCATTAAGGCCAGGCAAGAGCTGAAATTCAAAGTCAGTATTTTCGTTATTAACGCCTCTGTTTATTTTTGTAATGTTTATTTACTTGAGAGAGAGAAAGCATGAGTGGGGGAGGGGCAGAGAGAGAGGAAGAGAGAGAGAATCCCAGGCAGTTTCTGCTGTCAGCCCAGAGCCTGATGTGGGGCTCAATCCCATGAACCATGAGGTCATGACCTGGGCTGAAATCAAAGGTCGGGTGCTTAACTGACTGAGCCACCAAGGTGTCCCAACACCTCTGTTTAAATTCCAGTGATAAAAAGACTGTTCATCTTAATTATCCAAACAACCTTTTCTCCACTTCCAGAGCTGTTTTTACTGAGCTAAATTTTAAGATGATACTGGTCCACAGTTCTCTAGTTTTGAGGATGAGAGCCCATCTTTTATTTTTCCTGTGGCCAAACTACCAAGTACAATAACACGGTATTAACTGGATTAAATGATTCCTCTACAGTCCCTCCTGCCTTTAAAATCTTTCTAACATTTCATGCACACTGGCAGAAATCTAAAATCCAAATGTCACCAGCACTGAAATAAATTTACACATAGGGGTACCTGGGTGGTTCAGTTGGTTAAGCAGCCGACTTCGGCTCAGGTCATGATCTCGCGGTTCACAAGTTCACAAGATGGGCTCTGTGCTGACACCTCAGAGCCTGGAGCCTACTTCAGGTTCTGTGTCTCCCTCTATCTCTGCCCCTCCCCTGCTCATGCACTGTCTCTCTCTCCAAAAAAGATTAAAAAAAAAATTAAATGTACATGTGTTTCTTAAGCAGAAAGTAATTGCAGAAACTAAAGGAACGCCTTTCTTCACGTCTAAAATACTACCATGCAGCTTCTTCCTGCTTTTCAAAGCCAAAGTTCTCACAATGCATTATCAATCAGTCATGTTTTACAGCCAAAGAAGGGGACAGTATATTAAAAAAAAAAAATTCTGTAAATGCTTGGGTAAGATAATCACTCCCTAATAAAGGGTAATGGTTCACAAAATTCACAGAAGTCGAAAGCTACAGCAATTGCTTAATTTGGCAAAAATAGAAACAGGCCCAGCAAAAGACTGACTTGACCAAGGCCACGCAGCTGGTTAGGGGCCGGTCCCGTGACGCAGGCATTACTGCATGAACTTGACAAGGAAACTGGAGATGCTGGAAAGAATCAATTTAATACAATGCACACTGGGTCTGGCTAATCTCAAATGAGAGAATTAATTCATCAAACAAACCTTGGTGCTGGCATGTTTGGGCAAGGCGAGAGTTCAGGAATCGCAAGACCACAGAGAATGAATCACATGCTCGACAAGCCCAGCGCTTACCCTCTCATCCATGGGAACTCGGGTGGCATCAGCTCGGCTCTCTTCCCGCCCCGAGACCCGGGCAACTGAGAGTCCATTCAGCGCCGCCAACATGAGCGGCCGCTTCTGTGCCTCCAGGCTTGCCATCTTCTGCTTCTCTAGATTCTTGCGGCAAGAAAAGGCATGTTCTCATTGTTTATAGTACGAGCAGAGTGCTGGAATGTGTTCTAATCTCCCCAAATCTGTAACTCCCCAGCCAAGGAATGCAGACAATCACCATCAGTAGGGCAAATTCAAACAGAGCCTTCCCCTTATTCCCGCCGTGCCTGAAGAAGCCAGTTCCCCCTGAGCTTTTATCTAAAAACGGATGAATGAGTGAACTAACAAACAAACGAGTACAAGCAAAGACTTCACATAAATACCCACTGCCATTCGGCCAAAAAGCGCAAAACGGCATACAAGCAAGACACTTCAGGAAGACAAGGGCTGAAGGAAGACAGGGGTCTCATAAAGAATCCAATCCCATCACAATGATGGCCCTTTTATACAAACTAAATGATTAAAAACTTATAAACGTCGTTTGTTGCCCTGTTAAGAGATCCAGACACAAAACCGTGAAGAGAAACCTTCCCAAGTTTCCATTCTGAGAGGCTGAGACGGAAATCATCCCCAGACTTGCCAATGCCAAAGTCTGCGGTCATCCAGCACGATCCATGAGGCATAACCCTTCATGCCGCATCCAGAAGGCCCAAAGGAATGGGCACTATGGCTCCCAATGACCACGATGGGACATTACTGACTGTGACTCTGCTATGGGGGAATAAGGATTTGGGGGCTGAGGGCACCATCCAGGGTGAAGGCTGGATGTTAACACGTGGCCCTTGTTTGGGGGTTTAGATTTCCTCTCCATTCTCACCTGCACCAATACTCTGAAACTGGGACCAGTCAAGGTTCTCACTGTTAGGTGTACTTCTGTGCTTCCTTGTGCCCTCTATGCTGACCCTGACCGAGGTGTGAAAGAAATCTCCTTGTCCTCAGGCAAGCCTGTAAGAGCATTTCCTCAAAACAACTGTGTCTTAGACAACAGAAGGACTGAGGGACTTCCTAAAGCATACAGGCGGAGGAGTTAAACAGCATTTAAGATTTTGATCCTAACAGAAGTGAAACTCCTTTGCAGATTCCTTTGGCTGCCCCAGAGGAAGGGGTCATCTTCTCCCCGGTTTCTTTTCCAGGTTTTAAGTAATTCTGTTTCTTAGTGTGTCATTTATAAACGCGCTCCCCAGAGAGGTGAGGCGATGGAGCCCTGGTGCCAGCAGATGGCAGATTATTCTAAGTG